CCCCAAAACCCCAAAACCCCAAAACCCCAAAACCCCAAAACCCCTTGTGAATAAACCTCTAGTGAACTTTAAAGGCCTTATTTTATATATTATTACTAAATCAGGTAAATGAACGAGGTGGACGATAGCTCAGGCGATGATTTAGACCTGGATTCAAAGCTTTATCAGTATACTCAGGAAGGAGACCTAGACTATAAGTCGTATAATATCTCCACCAAGGCCCCTGACGAACGACGCTACGAGAATTCAAAGATTTCTGGTAAGGATAATCTTTGCTAAAACAAGTATTTGGAATTTTTAGTTTTTATATTTCAGTCAAGTTAATGCTAAGTTTGAGTTAGAGACATATTTAACTATTTTTATAGCAGAAGGAGGTATCAAACAATGTTGGGGTTCAGCCTTGTTTCTTGATGTACCCGAGGTTGACATTTTCTCAAATAAGCCTAAAGATCACCCGAAGTTGACCTTAAATTGGTAAGGAAAGTCTTATAATTTTAGCACATCCTTTACTCCAAATCCTAAGAGTCGTAATGAAATCCAAGAGAAATGAAAACTAAGCACGAATTCTAAATAGATTTGTGAAGAAAGGTGTTCCAAAACTAAACCTTAATTTTAACCAATCAGTATCAAAACCCAAGGTTGAGATACCTCTTTTAAAACTGCCTAAGGCTCCTGTACAGAGGTCTTTTCATTGTAACCCTGGATTTCAGACCCAGAGGCCTGAAATGAAGCCTTGTAACTCCTACCATCCTGCTCCAAAATCAGCAAGGTCAATTGCACATTCAGAATTGGAGGGGACATCTCAAGGCCTCAAACAAAAGGGAAAAGTCAATTCTAAAATAAAATTTCCAAACGGAGGCTGGGTCTGCAGCATTTGCCAAAATTACAACTTCCATGGTAGGAAGAAGTGTAACCGCTGTAAGAAGGATAAAGCTTGCACTGATTTCAACGGGAAGCCGTTGCATCTACTGAAAGCCGAGGGCAAGCTACCCCAGAACTTCCCGACTCGAGGAGTAGGGATTTCTAACAATCCCAATAGCTCTTTTGGGTCACAGTCTGTGCTTGCATACACAGAGGCTGGTAAACAAGAGCTAGAAATCATCAATTCAGCAAGATCTTGCCAAATTGACTTGGAGAAGTCAATTTCTTCTTGTAAAGGCAAGAAGTTGGTGGAGAAGAAGGGAGATTGGACTTGTAAGAAGTGCCATAACCTCAACTTCGCCTTCCGCAAGCGCTGAAACAGATGTAAAAAGGTAAGAAGTAAGTAAATTTTTCAAGACAAGCTTCAATAATTCATATTTTATCAGGGGTTTTGGGGTTTTGGGGTTTTGGGGTTTTGGGG